CTTCCAACTCTGTCGTTCGTGTTTCTAGCTTTGCCAGTTTGGATTCAATTTTCTTCAAAGACAGTTCTATCGTGTCTAGCTTTTCTAGCTTTTCCAAAATCTTTTGTACTTTGGCAGCAACCTCCTCCGACATATTAAGAGCTGCCATTACTTCATCTTCTTCTTGTTCGGGTCCTTCAGTGAGCGGTGAATCGTACTTCTTAGGTTTTTTCGCCTCAGGCGATGTGGTTGAGTCGTCCGAGGAGTCCGATGATCTAAATGCTCTTTTGCTGAGTAGATTATTGAAAAATTCGGCCATTAGCCACCATGCAAACTGTAAAGTTTGCGGACAGTCACATCGAAGGTCTTTACTCCGCCATTACCCGACCCAGTCCCCAATATACATGAAAAGTGGAAGACACTTAATGTCAGATCCTGAGGGAAACAGTTAGTTTTTTTTTCCCCTAGAGTCCTAGAAGCATTAGGACTCTCGGGAAAACAAAACAAACTGTTTCCCGAGGGACCTGACATTAAGTGTTTTGTTACATTTCTAGACTTTCACTTCAACAGCGACAGACGAATAACCGGAGCTAATCAAAACAGTTGACTCGGTACTTATAAGAACACAAATTTAATTCTCGAAACTACTGAATGAATGATTTACAAAGTACTTTCCTTATATTTTCTTCATCTTTTACTTCCACTAGCTGCTGTTTCTCTTCTGGGATAGCTTTGAAAATCGTTGCCTTTTAGCTTGAGGCTTCATGTTTGTGTTGTTGTGTTCATTCACGAAAAAAAATTGGCGGTGTTTTTCCCGCCTTCTGTCACGCCACTTTCCAACGTGCTTTGATCACGTGCTGTAATATATCCCGAGCTGGCTACATTGCTTAATGTATCACGATCGGGATACATTTCAGTTTTAGTCAAGGCCATGTGACCAAGAATCAGCCAATGGCAGTCCCTGTTTAGTTGAGTGAAGGTCTTGGAATATAACAATGTTGAATAGTCCGAGATACCGAACCAATCAGATTGTTTAAATCACCAATATCAGAAATCTTGCAAGATCTCTGAGGGTGTACGTGTATATACTAATCAGTTTTATTTAGTCCTTAGAACAGATTTTCCCTCAGTTCTATATGCAATACGATTATAGTTGTTCAGTAATCCGAAATTAAATACTAATAACTTTATACCTTTGCAGGAGAGACAGGGTCTGGAAAAAGTAGCTTGATAAATCTTATTCTGGGAGAAGAGTTTCTTCCATATTCGGTTCTTAGCACAACGTCAACCATTTGTGAGCTTAAGTTTGGGGAGGAACGTAAAATGGTCGCTCACTTTGAAGACAAGGATCCTGAAACAGGCCTACCAACAAAGGTTATCCCGATAATGGAGTGTGAAGAAGGTTACCTTCAACAAATTTCTCCTTATGTTCACGTGGAGAACGATCGCGAAATGGGATCAAATTTCAAGAAGGTTGAGCTCTTTTGGCCTCACAGTTTATTGGAGGTAGACGCGGCATATGTAATTATCAAGTCATAGTTTGAGGCTTATTTAATTTTTTTACACTACCATAGCTGATACCAAGTGCGAAACGTAAGCCTTAAAAATTGAGAAAGAAAGGAGGGTTACGTTGATTTAATGATAATGATTTTAATGGTGATGATAATAATAACAATGATGATGACAAGCAGACATTCTTCAAATGGCGGTTGTCATCCGTCTAGGTGTATTTTTGCTGTTTTGCTATGTTCTTTTCTTCTTCGCAAAGAGGGTGAAATTTTCTGCTATTTCTCCGTCTCTATAAGTGAGATGAGTTAACGCAATCGTGTCCTCGGGTCTTCATGGCTGCCGTCCCTTTTTCTTGCGTTATCCTGCACTATTGATGTTATTAACCAGTTAACGCGGACGTATTTCCAATTTGATCAACGCTAGTTGGTTGTGAAGAATAAACCGGGGTTTCGAGCCGATCTGAAACGGAGAATGAAATATTTTGTACATATAATAATAGCTATTACCTACTCAGTCATACCGCGACACAGTAGTGAGCAAACAATCTGAGATATGATTGTAAAATCAATCTTATGACTACGTTAGTGAGCTCTATGTGCATTTAATGAGGTAAAAATTTGAAAGTTTTGTATTTCAGAAAGGAATTGTGATAATTGATAGTCCTGGAGTTGGCGAGTCTGATATTATGGACCAGGCAGTCACACAATATCTACCCCAGGCGTTTGCTTTCATCTATGTCATTAACAGTGCAAATTCAGGCGGAATTCAGAAGGATAGGGCAAGTATCGTATAGTAAACGATAATCGTTTAGTAGCTGCTCTCAAAGGGGCTATTTCACAAGGAAATTGCTGTTATAGTTCAATTCTATGCTGAAGTCATGAACTAAGTGCCTTTAACTATACACAAAACCCCCTTAGGGGTACTCCTGGGAATTCTTGGTGGGGGTGTGCCGCCTGGTTCTTCAAATACTGACCCGATTTCAGACCATAAAATGTATTTTCCACACCCGTTTTTAGACTAGACCTCTAAAATCCATACTAGTTTTAAGACCTAGCTTTTTAGCAGAAATTATGTTATCATTACTTAGATTAGAGCGCAATGAAAAAATTATTCAAATCCATTTCATATTCGCATATTTCTCTTTCTGTCTAACTCATTTGGAATTGAAACGATAAATACGTTCACACACTCCTTAGTTCCCTCGAAAACCATACCCGATTCCAGACCAAAATGGACAAGGAGTATACCCGTTTCCAGACCAATTAACGTCGCAAAAACCCTACCCGATGGGCCGACACATACCTATATGGCTTATACAAGGGAGTACCCCCCGGGCACAAAACACTCCTGTTGAGTGTTGAGTAATGAAGAGGATATTAAACAAATTTCATTAGAGTCTTAGCACTAACCAAATTATGTTTTTGGCAAGTTGCACTAGCATAAAACCCTGAGAAGCGCCCATGTTCATCCTTGCCATCCGTAGCAACAGACGACAGGAAACAGTTTCAGTGCATTCAAGTCAATTAATGTGAAAAAGTAGCAAATTTGTCTGCGTTAAGTCCGGCCTTCATTTCATGCATAATTTTTACCTTTTTTTTTGTAGAAAGTCAAAGATATCTCGAAATCCCTCTTATAGATTTTTGTGAAACTTCGCACAATAGAAGACAAGCATCTTTCATTTAATCTAAAGCGGTCAGTGGTGGTCAATTAAAATGCGCGTGGTAAAGTTGAACAAATTCTTTTAATCCTTGCCAAAATCCTTTGATGATATATGCAAATGCTTTTGCAGCTTCAGCTTTTTTGTAGAAAGTCAAAGATATCTCGAAATTCCTCTTACAGATTTTTGTGAAACGTCGCACCACAGGAGAGAAGCACCCAAAAAATATGGAGACGAGCCACCTTAATTGCCTTTCATTTAATCTAAGCTGTCAGTGGTGTTCAATTAAAATGCGCGTAGTAAAGTTGAGCAAATTCTTATAATCCTTACCGAAATCCTTTGATGATACTGATACAAATGCTTTTGCAGCTTCAAAAATTACTAGAGGAGGTGAGAAAAGTCTCACTTCAATGGCAGGGTACTGTGGCTGCCGAATCTGCATTATTTGTGTGTAACAAGTGGGACCAAGTCTCGGAGAAGGAGGCAGATAAGGTCAAGAATCATGTGATCAAAAAACTACAAGTATGCTGGCCTGGTGTTGATCCCGAGTCACAGGTCATGTATATGTCAACAACAAAAGCCAGTAAAGCTCAAGGCTATGGCTTTATTACAGAGGAATTTCGCACTTTGATGAAAGGCTTGAAGTTTGTCGTGGTAAAGAGTATTGGATCCAGGCTGGAAATTCATTGGACGTAAGTATCAGGCTACACGTAACTAATTTTTACAAGGTTTCAATGCCAGGGTACTGTGCCTGTCGAATCTGCATTATTTGTGTGTAACAAGTGGGACCAAGTCCCGGAGAAGGAGGCAGATATGGTCAAGAATCATGTGATCAAAAAACTAAAAGCATGCTGGCCCGGCATTGATCCCAAGTCACAGGTCATGCACTTTGATGAAAGGCTTTAGGTTTATGGTGTTAAAGAGTATTGGATCCAGGCTAGAAAATCATTGTACGTAAGTATCAGGCTACACGTGGCTGATGTTTAGAGGGATTTTCACCTAGCCTTTTCCCGTTATGTCCTCCGGTTGGCCCTTTCCTTACCTCCCTGAGGTTCTGAGAGAAACTTATTTCGTAGTGAAGAATTTTTAAGGAACTAATAAAAATTAGTCGTAAAATGTAATCGAGAGTATTTAAGGGCGTCAAAAAAAGTGGATTACGTCAAGGCCCACCAAGGTTTACAACAGACAAACGGACATGCACTTCAATCAAGGTAAGGCACTCACTACTAAAAGGCAAAAGGAATCGCAGCATTTGTAGTCTGGAAGGTCGCCGGTGGCGTTGCTACCCTGCCTTCATCCTGGCATAACCTGCGATCAGCTGTCCTCGTGGCCCTATTCAAGACCAAAACACGATATTTCCGACACTCATTTTAGCCTCCTAAATCCATATTATAGATACTCCCTTTCAGACTTGGCTTCCGAAATTTAGATTCGGTTTGTAATATAAATACCATTCTCAAACTCATTAATAATAGAGAGAAAACAAAGAATATCACAACCTCAACGGTGGTTTGGATATCGGTTACCAATTGCCATAAAATTTTGGGAACTTTATCTTTGAATTTCTCCAAGAATTATTGTTCATTTGAGAAGCTATATCAAAAACTTCACTCAGCGTTCCATCCGATATCCAGACACCTCGAAGTCGGTCTTAAAAAGCTCAGCTGCGCCTCGTTTTTCAACCCAGTTTTTCCCCTGGAGACTACACCCGATTTCCAAAATTTTATTGGGTAAAATGTAGTGTTCTTTTTTCGGACCAAAGCAGTACATAAACCAAACCCTGGTCTGCCCTTTAGGGTTGCACATACTTGTTTAACCTATAAATGGTTGTCAGTAAAACTACCCTTCCGAATAACCTTTGTTGAATTAGTTGTTCTTTCACCATTTAGATGGTTGGATCGTGTTATTCAGCGAATCATTAATCAAGCAATGGCTTCCGTGAAGAATGCCTCCAGAAATCGCAGCCAACTGTACGAAAAGACGCGTAAGATTGATCAGTTTTTAGAGGCGTTTGAGAAAAAGCAAATGCAAGCAGTTGCAGGCCTTCATGAATTTCAGAGGAGACTTGAGCATGGTGCTTTGCAGAAACTATCAGCGTACCTCTCATCTGAAGAAGTTAAGGCTCGCTTTACGTCATGGACATTAGATGAAGTGCCAGGATCAGAAGGCAACTGGGACGATACAGCACAGGAAATAATGAACCTGCTATCAAAGCGGCTGCGAGAATTCATACAGCAATGGGAAGAAGATAATAAAGTGTTTGAAAATGCTTACAAGTCCCTCGTGGAACACGTTCAAAGTCTCTTCAGTTTTTTTGAAGGACAGTTGCGGAATCTCGAGATTGCCATCACAGCTGATGTTGATTCGGAAAATCTGGAAGAGCTTCTTGAAGACTACGACATCCCATTAGCAGGAAAAATCCTCATCGGATTCACTAGTCCAATCTGGATTCCACTTAGCATAGTTGCTCTGGTAATCACTGCTCCTGTTCTTGGTTTCATAGCAACGAAAATGAAGTTGAGGGATAGAAAAGAAGTTAAGGATTACGAGGACGACAAGTGTGCTTTCTTGAGAAAAGTATCGAAAAAGTATCTTGAAGATTCTAAAGAGGAAAAAGGCCTGGAGCTTCTCGCGAAGGAACAAATGAAAGACGCCAAATTGTTCCTCAAGCAGATTGAAGCACGTCTACCAGAATTGATTGAGGAAGGCAAGATGCTACGCAACCAATATGTTGCCGAGACATGCTCACAGAAAGAGATATCAGAGCGCTATCAGCCAATAATTGATGAAGGTTCTCACCTCAGAGGGCGCCTGGCAGAATATGGGTTCAAAGAAGTTCGAGCCACTGATATCAGCACTGATAATCTGAAATGGAAAGAGGATACTTCTTCCCGTCTCGGCTGTGGTGCATTTGGCGTTGTGTACAAGGGAAAGATGAAACGAAATGAAGATGCCTACTCTGAAGTGGCACTAAAAATGTACAACGATGTTCTTGATGCCAAAAACAATGCAAGCCTGATAATGTCTGAAGTTCAAATTTTAAGGTGAGAGCAACCCTATACAGTAATTCGTTTGTTCAGTAACGATGAGCAGACAGAAAATATTAAGCTAAAGATAGATCCAGTATTAGTAATCGGCTCCTGCCAGAGTGAGGTAGATAACGTGTAATGTGGATTACATGAAATTTTAAAGTTATATAACTTTGATGAAAAAACACGAAAACACTTAACGAACTAAGTACAAATCAGATCTCTTTTAGAGAATAAAGGACAAACTAGACAAAGACACTCAAAATGGTAGCATATCGCGACGTTGGACACTTTTTTATGTAACTGACCTTCATCCAAAACGCCTAATTTTCTTTTTGCTTCTAGCTCGTATGGGCTCATGAATAACTATTAACTAAAATGGAACTAACTTTAAGGCTTTTCTGCTGAGAAATGGATAAGGCGACTAACCGGTTAGCTCAATTAACGTTGGTGGAGTGCCAATATCCTGGTGATTGAGATCAGTCAGATCACGGGTACAAATATTCTTCCAGATGTCAGTAGGGACCTGAAAAACTCAGTTCCCCTGGGTTGGTGTGTTATACCATGGTTTACCGCCAAGATATTGTCCCATGTGTGGGAATAGGGTACATGGACACGGTCCCAAAGTACGCTGACGGCGTTAGCCGTTCTGGTGGCCTAGGTAATAAGTAAACAAATAAATAAAACTGTCATTGACGCGTATTATTTAGCCTTCTGTCATTGCAGAAATCGTGCTTTGCTATTAATTTCTCCGTATTCATTTGTTTTATATCCCAGAAAATTGAGCCACCCTCACGTTGTAAAGTTTTATGGCACGTCGCTGCTTTGGGAACAAAATGACGTGAGAATTGTCCTGGTTTTAGAATATTGCAAGGACAACTTACGGAGTTATATCTCTAAAAACCAGGAGTTAATTCCCGGGAAATCCGCAACAAAATATAAGCCCATTCGAATAGCCTGTCAGTGGGTCAAAGAAATCACTGATGCTTTAGCGTACATTCATGACGTACAGAGGATTGTTCACAGAGACCTTAAGCTGGAAAACATCTTGGTAAGATGCAAATTTGTGGTTTTTGGCTCGTCCGTTTTGCCCAGTAGGCCAAGTAGTGGATAGCGCTATCTACATGATATCCAACAATCCCTTGGATTAGTCAGTATGACAACAAATCAAATCTGTTATTTTTTGGATAAAAACTAGATCATCAAGTAAGTAGTGAACACCCTTTATCGGAAAAGGACACAAGCATATTTTTTTTTTTGTAATAAAAGAAAAACGCGTCAGAAAAAATTGAAATAATGAAAGAAGAAAATACCTTTGGCTGTGATAAAATTGATTGTCTGGTTAATCATGATATAAGGGAAAGTCATCCATCGGCAGGACTGTAGATAGCGATTTTTCACCCTTTTCTTGCGATTTTTTCATCCTTTGCCCAAACAGAAAGCCTGTTCACAGGCTAGACCGTACACAGCCCTTCAAGCTAAGGTATAATTTTATCAATATGATATATGAGACTTAAAACCGTGTAAAAAAAGAGTTTATAATGAACTAGGGACTATTAACCCTATTCAAACCAGTCCATGACCGCTCCTTCCGGTTAATGGTCAATTTCTATTCGTGAATGAGATTTTCGATACCCAATGACCACGTGTAATCCATCCAATGCAAGTATGGCCACTCGTTTCCCTGATTAGTCTTCCTTAACTGGCGATTGTATGATAAAAGATTAAAAGTTAAACTGGACATAAAAAAAAAAACTTTCAAGAATTGTCTACAACCTTTTTCAATCGACAATCCAGTTTCCGCATTTAAATTTTTAAACATTATTGCTTGGGATTAAAGGGGTGAGGTAGGGGAGAGGGGTAGAGTGGATGTTTGTGTACGTTACTCAAAAGAAGAAGGAATAAAGTTCTCTGTCCATCTAAGCATCATGAAACATCCTTGCCAATTAATTAAGAGGTGCTGTGTCTCTCACTGGGCCACCGCTAAGCCATTACCGTATCTTAGTCGTGTCTTAACTTGAAACTGTGATTTTTTTGTTTGAAGCTGTCAGAGGATAATGCAGTAAAAGTTACAGACGTTGGCGCATCTAAAGAAGCAGTAGACATTACCGGTACCCTTGCTGGAAGCCCCGCCTACATCGCACCAGAAGTGTTCAAATCCCAGTTGTATAACAGCAAAGCAGACATCTACAGTCTTGGGATAATGTTGTGGGAGATCTGGTACGGAGAGCGAGCTTTCGCCAGAACTGAATCAGTATCATTAGAAGATTTCTTTACGATGGTGGATAACGGTGGTCGTCCAGAACATGTGAAAGGTTGCCGAGAACCTACCCATGCCTGGGGAAACCTAATGAAGGAGTGTTGGCGGAAGAAGCACAAGGACCGCCCCTCAGCTAATGAATGCCATCAAAGAATTTCAGCCCACTTTTAAGGACCGATAAAAACATATTAGAAAGACTTCTGAGACTTCGCCGCTTTGATTGACATCAAGTGGTACAATTGTATTGGCCAGTATAAGTTAGTTAATGAAGAATTGAGTACTACTAAACTAAGGTATAAAATGAAACTATTATAAGCAACTTGACCCCTCACTAGTAAAAGTATAGAGGATATTCTAAAGCTCTGTACACTTGCGAAGCGTTGTAGCGACAACTCGGATTGGCTGCGATGGTAAGGCCTGTATGTATAGATGATTGATTAGTATTCTTATTGTAGGGATAGCAGAGCTGATTTAAGGGCAAAAAATGACGCTCCTCTGTTAGTTAATGTTCTATTTGTCGTAGATTTAGATCGGAGCAACAATAAGTGATGCTACAATAGTCAAAATATGGACCCTTTTGTCGCCTCAACTTATCTCCCAGATCAGACCAGAGTGAATTAATGGAATTTTTCGCTGCAACCAAATTTCGTTGACGTATTAGTTTTTCGGGGTATGCCAAACAGGGGCGTAGCCAGCTTGTAGACCGATAGGCCCTGGCCTACAATTTTATCCCACTTAGGCCCTTGTAATCATGAATAAATTATGTGCTGTTGGGGGAAGCTAAAGAGCTTAAAATGTAGGTGAGCTCATACTAGACATGTGAGCAATCAATAGAATTAGAAAAGAGCAATTTTCAGAATATGTGGAAATGAAATTCCGACCGCAATCAGCTATGTCTACATTAAGTCGAAAAGCTGGCTACTACTTTGCCGAAGGTGATATTTTCAATCATGAAATTCAAAACTTTGGTCTTGAAAACCGCCACATGTTGAACACGAGCCAGCCATTTTGTTGATGGATGTCATTTACTAAGGTGTCAAATCCGTTCTTCCCTTAGCCGCTAAGGGGTCGACCAATTTGACTTTTTAGGCCGAGTATGGGTGATTTAGTTAGGGTAAGAACTTTTTCCCCAAACCTCTGGAGCTTGATTTTTTCCCCGACATATAGCGGAGTAAGATTTTTTGCAGCATTATATACCATGAGTGATATGTTTCTCAGTGCAGGATATTTTTCTCCCCAGGTATTTCCTTGCACTAATTTTCCCCTCGAAATCTGTCTGCAGGATATTTTTTCTGAAATCACTTATAACCCGCTCAAAAGGCAAATGGTCGGCCCTAAAATCCGCCAAACATTTGCTCTGTACTCCTTCTTTGTGAGAATCGTCAAAGACTGGAACAGTTTGCCAAACCAATGTTCAATGATGAAATTAACGTTAACAAATTTAAAAAAGGCTTAAAAAGGTGGATGAAAGTTTATTGACACAGTAGATCATATTTTAATTGCATATATTTTCACTTTGTACCTGCACTAATGATTTTTACGCGCCTTTTTAATAATTTTTAATACTTTTAAAGTTCAGTTAGGGGACCTTTAATAGGAATAACCTCGAGGTCCACCTTTCCAACTATGTATCATGTATCATGTTTATATGCATATATATTTTTGAATAAAGTATTATTATTATAGAAAGATTCTGATTGGTCAATCATTTAAGAAGCCTTTTTGAACAATAGGGGGCAAAACTCTCTAGGAGAGGAGGGAAGGAATTCATTTTCTACCTAACCCCACCCGGAAAGAACGTACGGACGGTGGGCATTCTGTCGTACGCTGACGTCATAACCGAAATTTCTCGGATCAATAGGTTTCCAATTTTCTTTAGCTAAGAGGCTGTGCTCATTCGCGCTTCGTGCGCGCGCGGAAGCTCCGCTATGATACATCGTGGTAATTAAAAGGACTGAGTGAAGGTCAATTCGGTCTGTAATCGTACGAGTGATTAACAAAATCGGATGACCACGTAGCGGGAGTCCGATCTTTGTTTAATCACGAGTATGTTAATCATAACTATAGCAAAATTTAGAGCTCAAACCATTGTAACGTCATTGCCACGTGACATTTATTCCGATCGCCTAAAAAATAATACCGTAATAAAGTTTAGTCTAAGTGTAATCCATATGTCATAATCGTTTTACAATACAGATCGATTTGTTTAAGTATAAGAGATTCAAAGATGGAGGGTGCGCCTATAAAAGTACTAGTTCGAGCCACCTCAAGACTTTTTGGCTCTGTTAAGCCCCGTGCAAACGGACGCAACATCGTTGGCCAACAACTGCCATCTTTGTTGGATGTTACATGTTACGTCTGTTTGTACATCCTGTTGCATGTTGTTAGATGTTGTTGCGCAAAGTTTGAAACCGGTCAAACTTTTAGCTACGCACAGACGGACGCAACAACTCCCAGCAATGTTGGGAGTTGTTTGCCAACAGTGTTGCCTCCGTTTGCACACGGCTTTACGGCCAACAGTTAGCCCCATCCTGATTAGCCTCTTAAAATTATGTATCACTTTAACCACAGGTTACTCTATATAAGAAACTTAGTAGTAATAAGCAATGAGCGATACCCTGGGTAGCAGAGTTTTTTCTCGCCTGCGGCAGGAATTTTCGCTGTTGGCTGAAGGCCGACACAAAACAAACCTGGCACACAGGGTAACGGAACGACAGCAGAGCGATAAACCCTGTTGTGGAAATTCCAGCAAAAAAACCAAAACCGGTTCATTCCCACAACCAAATCCTTAGTGTAATATACTTTTCCTTTTCTTTTCTTACTATTCAACTGTTAATTAAACACTCGCCTCATGTACGCAGGCATCAGGAGGGCGGACCTATTTTCCGTATTTTTTTGGTGCGAATCGAGAGAGAAGGGACATTATTATCCCCAACCTCGCCATTTGCGTCAGTATTCTCTCTTGCGTGACTATAGGATCATTAACTTACCCCATCAAGAACTCACCCACTCCCCTTGCCTTCCACACTGAAGTACCCAGCGCTTCGTCACACACGCTCCTTTGTCACGAACTTGGGGGAGGAACGCGTGACGAAAGCCTAAGAATGTCTGCGTAAGAGGCTACCATGCATGCCCTCCCCCTCCCCAAATTAATCAAATGGTCGGGCCTTAAGAATGTCAATTCCTTTGACCATCTGCTAGAAAACAAACTGACTATTAAAGATGTGATCATGGGGCTTTATTCAACAAATTAACTCACTGTCTGTTGGCAAACAAACTAATAAATCAAATTGAACAGAAAAAGAGTAAAAGGTCCAATAATTAAAACAGCGTTGATCAATGAAACTCTGTTGGCTGGTGGTTATGGTGTTAAAATAATATTTAAACTTACGCCCTCCAATCGTATAAAGCCAGGTTAAACGTACAGTAGGATTGTGTCAGCCCCCTCCCCCTTGATGTCTTCTTTTCATTTGTCTTTTCAAGCGTTTCGTACCTCGCTAGAACTTCACTGTAATGGTAAAAATAGCTTTTACCATAATCTTATGAAAATATCTGAATATTATTATGACCTGTCCGAATTGGCTCTTAATAATTCAAGTGAAGCTAAGATCAAACACTATATAGATATAACAAAACAAAAATATGTTACATATTGGCAACATACAATCCATCATTCTAAGAAACTACAATTTTACAGCTTATTTAATCATGATCATAAAATTTCAAGTTATCTAGACTTAATTAGAAATTCGGCCAATAGGAGAGACTTAGTGAAAATTCATATGAATAACCACAAACTCATGATTGGAACTGGAAGATATAATCAAACTCCCCGCAATGATAGATTCTACCCTATTTTTAACTCTGGTATAATTGAAGACGAATTTCATTTTCTCTTCCATTGTCCAAAATATTCAGTCCCAAGGGAGAAATTCTACAATCAAATCCAACAAAATTTTGCCGACTTTAATCAGCTATCTTACACAGAATTAATAATTAAATTGATGAATTCACAGAATTTTTCCGTAAATTAAAATTTGTTGAAATTTGTCTCATTATGTAATGATTTACGTACTAATTTGTTATCAAATCATGCTGATGACACTTGATTGACTGTAGTAATCATTGCATTGCATTATCATTGTTATAAATTGTAACTTTATGTTAAAGCTTTTGCAATACTGTAACTACATAATTATAGTCATGCAAATAAAGCTCATGTTGTTGTTGTTGTAGTTGCCTTCATACTCGTGCTTACTTAGTTCGCAATACGGCTAGTCTCCCTTACAGCTGTTTTTGTATCGTCACCCAACGCTCCTGGCCTGAGGGAGGAGCGTTGGGTGACGATACAAAATCGGCTGCAATCGGCTACATTATGGTGAACTTTGGTGAGAATCGCTTTCTATGGTTGCGAAATATGACATCATAAGAAAGGTATTGCCAAGTCATGTTAGTCTTTGCTTTTGATACTGTTTCATGTTTGTTTTATACTAAAAAAGACCTTCTTTTAAGTCTTTTTTGGCATAACACGAACATGAAACAGTACTAAAATCAGTAAAGTGTCGATTCTACCACAGCGAGCCCGCACAATCTGTTTGTGTAGCCGATTGTTATTTTATAGTAAATGTTCTGGATTTACCGTTTGCCTCACCTATAGCGATATGTCGCTAACTATGTATATAAATCAATGATAAATAAACGTTGAATTATCTTACCTGTGGTATATAGTCGTCCTTTTACCTCAAAAGCGGTTGTTTGAGCGATTTTGAAGGAGTTTGAATTCGCCGTTGACTGTTCCTTATAATAGAAGGACAAGGGTGGAATCCACGTTTTGAAAGGGCTCCAGTGCCGGAGCGATTTTCCCCCCAAAAATCGCATCGCTCCGCTCTCAAACTCCGTAGCAAAAAGGTCGAAAGATTCACGTTTCTCCTCGTACCTTCCAATCGAAAATCCATCCAAACAGCCCGGAGCTAGCCGTCGAAGAAAATTAAAATCCCACAGTATTCGAGCGGCAGGAATGCGTAGCAAGATTCATACGTGCCAGCCAGAAACCGTATATACACAAACAGATTGTGTGGGCTCCCTGTGTTGGGGTGTGTATAATTTGAAACAGAAATTTTTATCACAGAATAAACGCATCCATCTCATCCGAAGGCTTGAAAGCATTACGC